CATCTTTTTGTCACACTCGGCCGTGATACGGTTCGCTTTCATCAGGGTCCGATCCTTCGGCGATGGAGCTGGGCTGTCGTTGAAAGATAGTCCCCTCGGCTAGTCCCGATATCCCAAGGTTAGCATCGAAGGGTCAAAATTCAAGAAAAAAGAGGAGCACAGGGAAAGAAAGCTTACAAAATCAATAAACCCTGGTTCCGTCCGCATTGGGGGATGCCCCGGCACCGAATACACATGATCGAGGATGACGCCAGTGGAGTCCTTCGAAGGCTCCATAGCATCCTTGATGCGCTGCGCCACCTTGGAAGGAGGAAGCGCTTCATCGACGAGCATCGTCCCTTCAAACGACACTCCAGGCACCATCCGGTGTAGGGGAAGCGCGCGCGCCATCAGCGACGCCACCCTCCTCGCATGGTAGGCGCCAATGATCCCCGACCCCTTCATGCCCCGGTCCTTCAGAGTATGGAGGGTGGCGAGAAAGTCGGTGATGTGCTTCTTCTCCTTAGTCATGACGCCCCACTTCCACGACTCCGGGGCCTCTTCGATGAGGCGCCTTGAGTACTTTGGCAGGGGGCATTCACGTCATCCCTGATGTAAAACCACTGCGAATGCCACCCCTTGTTGGAGGTCAACAGATGCATCAACGGGTAGCCGCTCGCCCGGTATGGCGTAGATGAATGCTGGCACAAACCATCGACACACTCACCTCCTTTCCCCCAACCCGCCTCTTCGACAGACTGATGGTGAAGAAGTGCCGCCACAGATCGAAGTGGGGATCGATCCCTAGGAAACCCTCACACAGGGCAACAAACGCCGCCATATGTTGGACCCCATTGGGAGTAAGATGCTACAACTCCACCTGGTAGTAATCCAACAGCCCCCGAAGAAAATTATGCGTAGGTACAGCGAATCCCCGCTCATGGAAGATAGCAAAGGACACAACATACCCTTCGAGCGGCGATGGCTCATCCTCGTCACCAGGCAGCAGCCACCCTTAGCAGTGGCCAACGGGCGGAGGAGGCCGTGGTGGACGAGGCCCTCCAAACGCTGAGGGGTACTGCCGGATCTGCCCCACAGCTCCATTGAGGCATCGGGAAAAAAGGTGGGTGCGAGCTCGATGGCGTCTGCGACGTGGTGCGAGCTTGACGGCGGCTACGACGCGGATGCGAGCCTGACAACAGCAGCAGTATGGGCGCAGGAGGCTAAGGCGATTGACGGCGGAGGATTCAGACGCGAAGGCGAGGAGGCGAATACGAAACCCTAGGGGTGAACCCCGTGGTTTTATAGGGGCGACGGATCCAAGAAGAGCAACCGTCCGCCTCGATCTCCGAGCCTACCACGCGCACCATCGTGTCACCTCGTGGGATACGTGCCCGCGATCCCTATCTTTCCCACCGAAACTTCGCTAGATGATTCGCCTTCCCAAGCGAACCTGACTCTTTTCCCACAGAGGGGATATGGGTCAGAATGCTTCTTCTCTGGCCCACCTGGGCCTAGAATATCCAGGGATCAGCCCAACGGTCTCGACGATCGACCCAACAGGGGATGGGCCCGTAAGCAACCGGGACTTAGGTACACGAGCATCGGTAGGGCCCCGATCCGAAGTCGAGCCCTAGCCAGGCTAACCCTGGACAAAATCCCCCCGAACAGGACACCAAGGTTCCCTTAAAGCTTTCCAGTTGACAAAACCAAACCTCAGCCCTACCCACGAAGGGTCCAGAACACCCCCGGGCGATTCTACCCAAATCACCCGGGGGCTCGGGGACTACACCCATCGGGTGCGCTCGCGCGCACCCTCTGGAAAATCGAAACACCCCCCGGCCGATTCTACCGGAATCACCCGGGGGCTCGGGGGCTACACCCATCGGGTGCGCTCGCGCGCACCCTCTGGCAAATCGGAACACCCCAGGCGATTCTACCTAAATCACCCGGGGCTCGGGGGCTACTGTTGGGGGCCTAATACCGAGGTACCCAACGATGTGGGACTGGTAACCGCCGGACGCTGATACTTCCGGCCAAACGAGAACACTACTGCGTTTCTTGCCCGAACGACGGAAGATCGGTTCCGCCTCGCCCGACCCCCGAGGGCTAGGCTCCCCCTCACCCGATGGCTGAAGTCCAAGACTCCGCCTCGCCCGACCCCCGAGGGCGAGCTCCACCTCGTCCGATGGATGCCTCGCTCGACGGCTAAAGGCTAGGCTCCGCCTTGCCCAACAACCAAGGGCTAGGCACCGTCTCACCTGACAACTACACCCCGCCTCCTTCGTGATGACGGACACAGGGTAAGACAAGACGTTTGGGTCAACCACGGCATCGAGGACCATGCCCTACGCCACTGCGGGAAAGTACTATCAAGGCACGACGGGACGGCGCTTTAGACCCTTCCAGGCATGGCAGGGGCTGAATAGTGTTGTGGGCGCGTGCTTTTCGCCCTACAGTGTTGTAGGCGCCGCCTTTAGCCCTCGGGTGAGGAACCGGACACCAACATATGACAACCACTACAGTCCAAGAGGGGACTCCCGTCCTGTACTGCGATGAACGAGCGGTCACCGCACCGTTCGCTCCCCACAGGGCCGTGGGACAACACCTCAGCCCGACATGCCGTCTGCGGGGGCGGGACGGGACATGACCACTTGCAGATCAAGTAAAGGCGCAACGTCATCAGCACACAGTCACCCGGTGAACGTGCCAACCTCTGACACTAGCTGGTCATGTCAGCAAGGCTGGCTTGGAGGAAAAGGAAGACCCAGCGCCTTCGGAAGGACTACTTGGCCTCTGGTTTTTTCTCCTTTCTCCGACATGTAAACCCTGCTCTCCATGGTCTATAAAAGGGAGGGTGGGACACCCCACTAAAGGGGGGGATCCACTCACACACAGACGAACTCATAGAGAGTTCGGTTTCACACACACACGACACATCACGCACACAGCCAGGCCGCCACCAGGCTCTTGGCATCCTTTCGACCCTTCCATCAGAGACCTGGGACCAGTCCCTCTCTCGACCGTTTGTACCCCTACTACGAACCATTTTCGGTGCTAATAACACGAGCAGCAACAGACTGGACGTAGGGACATTCAGCCCGAACTAGTATAAACCTTGTGTCCTTTAGCGCACCATCCGGACCTAACGCGCATAAATATAAATTTACTAGCCAGTGTTTGTTCGAAACACCGACAGTAACCTAGCCCAAAAGGTCGATTGAAGTATTGATCCCCTCTAACAGAATGTGGAACAACAGTCGCAATGACAAGTTCACTGGTCTAATGGGTCAAGAGAGCATCATCAAGTCTACAACCAGATCTGAGCTAAAAGCCAGTGGAATAGCCGAAGATTCCCCTCTTTTTCATGTTATGAATAAGCTTATGTCTAAATTCGATGAGTCAGAGGAAAGAATGTTTGATGCTCCTATTGCTACTTTTACCTCATGATACATATACTAGTGAATTGGCCCTGGCTTTTACTCAACCTAGAGGCCGTTTCACTATTATTTTGAATAACATGGCAAGTTGATTTTTGAGAATCAATCCGAATTGGCCTCTTTGACGCTTCATGTTTTTTATAAACCTTTATTAAGCGGTCCTTGTAAATAAAACTAAAAAATTGTCACTTCAAGTTTTGACAACCCTTCTCTTTAAACTCCGTGGTATAACATATAGTTACATTATACAACAAAACTCCCATTTCAAAAACCTGGTCACATACAAATGCAAGAGTACCGGTGCGTTTAACTGGACGATTGAATCAATATCGTTCGTTAATTTATAGAAAAGAACGTCAATATTTAAGACACTAAATTAATACCATTAGATATACCTTAAACTATTTTTTTCTAAATGTGCCCATTTATGGTATCACAAATATTTTCTACTTTTCAAAAAAGAGTTGGACTTAGAGAACTCTTGGAATAGATTTATTCAAGTAGGGAGTACTCGCAATATCCTTTCAAAGATCCAATCACTATTGTGCATAACTAGGGGCATCGGATTCTAACAGAATGTTTGTCAACCTTCACTAGGGATGAAAGTTCCACTACTAGTTTTGGGTAATTTGTTCGAAAACTTGCTAAAATCAATTATAATTATGTACTAATACTTAATTCATTGAGGTGGATAAATGAACTAAATTAGCATGCCATCGAAATTAACTTGCTAACTCAGATGATACTAGTGTGTCTTACACATTGCATCTCTGGTCATCATGCTCATTTTCCTGGATCATGTTTTGTGGCAGGTACTACTCTGATCAGTGTCATTCCAACATGTAAAGTAGCACAACACTGACATAAAATCTGGCAAAACACCAAAACGGTACATTGAGGGGAAATTGAGGTGTAATCTACACGAGAGCTTAAGTGCAACAGATACTAAAAATGACATGCTTCGGTGGTGTTTGGTTTGGAACAGCAGTACTCCTTGCAGAAGACAAGGAACTAGGAAGCCGGAACCAGCCGAAGAAACAGCACAAAAACTCGGGCACCGCACAATATCATTTGGCAAACAAAAGACCCTTAGAAGAAAAATTAAAACGACCAACGGGATCTGTACCTCCAACACTCTGTTATACTACTGTATCATTTTGTGTCCTCTCTGGTACCTTGATCAACATTTAGTAATCACCTAAGACTAGATGCAGCTTACTCTGTCCTGCATATCCAAAAGGGGAAAAGTGAATTTCGCCGGAAAATAATGAACTCATAATACTGCATAACATTTGGTAGTACGTACCAATCAGTGTTCGTCAGTTATCAGGCTTCAGGTATGCAAGCTTGGCAATGAGATCTATCAGGAGGGAGGGACAGCTGCTTCTCAGGTGGTTGAGGCCGTCGGCCGCCATGACTTGTTGAAGATTAGGAGGGAAGCTCAAAAAATCCAAGCAAGCCTGCTTGAGCCCCTGGCAATGACGCTGCTCAGCTAGCTCAAGGATGCTCGCCACCCTGGTCGCGTTAATGTATCCCCACAACTTCTGTTCACACATGAGCCTCAACCTCTGGAGATCATATCTATCTGCTGCCACAAGCAAGTGCTGCCACGTCACTTCGTCGTCGTCGTCGTCGTCGTCGTCGTCGTCCTCCTCCTCCTCCTCCTCCTCCTCCTCGTCGTCGTCGTCCGTCCTCCTCCTCCTCCTCCTCCTCCTCCTCCTCGTCCTCGTCCTCGTCCTCCTCGTCCTCCTCCTCCTCCTCCTCCTCCTCCTCCAAGTCTTCCTTGTCATCATACTCCTCATCTTCGTTAATGTCTGGCATTGAGTCACTGTAAATGAAAGTAAGCAATAGCTTGAACACTTTTGCTTCCATGTCATCTATGCGTATGACACCGGTGGTCGTGCCCTCCTTCACGGGGCCAAAAAGCTCAGCCCAGAAGACTGCGGATCTGGCTGCAAGCACGCAGCGGTGTGCATGTAGCTTCTCTCCGCTGACCTCGAATATGACATCGGTGCCCTCACCAGACTGGAGAAGGCGAGTGAAATGCTGGTGCATATCAGATGCCGGCACCACGACGAATGCTGTGTTGACATCAATCCTAGCCTTCTTATTAGGTGACACAAGCTGGGCAATGAGCTCTTTGAGGATTAAAGGACAGGTGCTGGCTAGGTGGTCCAGGCCGCCAAGCACCATTACCTCCTGCAGATTGGCATGAGCCCTGATAAGGAAGTCGAAGCAAGCATCCTTGAGCCCACGGCCATGGTGCCGCTCAGCTAGCGCAAGAATCGTTGCCACTGTAGTCGTGCTGATGTATGTGCACAGCTTCTGTTCACAGATCAGCCTCAGCCTCAGGAGATCATACCTATCTGCCGCTACAAGCAAGTGCTGCCACATGACATCGTCTTCTTCTTCCTCCATCTCTTGCACTGAGTCACTGTAAATGAACCCAAGGAGGAGCTTGAACACTCGTGCCTCCATGTCGTCTATGCGTACGACACCTGCCGCAGCGCCCTCATTCATGGAGCCAAGAAGCTGCCCCTTGAAGACCGTCGACCTGCAGGCGAGTATGCACCGGTGTGCAGCAAAGATCTCTCCGCTGATCTCGAAGGTCACATCGGACCCCTCTCTAGACTGAAGTAGACTGCTGATTCATGTCAGATGCTGGCACCACCACAAAAGGGACAGTATTGGCTCCAGTTCTATCGACATCAACATCCTTGCTGACCACGATGTCGCACTTTATGGTGAGACTGTCGTCCTTGAGATGTGCTGATTTCTCCAGTTTATCTCTTTTCATGAAATCATCGTAACCCCGAGACAAGCTCTCTTTACTGAAGTTAGTCACTTCGATTTCATGGATGTTTGATGGAAGTTGCTTCTCAGCCTTGTCAACGAAACTGAAATCAAACTGCACCTTCACAGTCGTCTCCGCGACGTTATCATCATCAAGTAAGAGATAAAGGGATATATAGTCAGCCACCTCGGAGTCTATGCCGTTGGGGTAGTACCGGATACGCCAGCGATGGCCGCCGACTCTGAAAGGGGGAGATTCTATCTCGTCGCCGTTCTGGGTGATCTCTTTGGTGCGCGAGTACCCGTCGACCACAAGCAGGTGGTAGCCGCTGTCGGTGACGGTGGTGGCTGGGGTAGATCGCGTCGACAGTCCGTCACCGCCGATGAAAGATATGCCGGCGAACGAAATACCGAATCAACAAATCAACTGTGATTCCCGCGAGATGATTTGCTTCTGTGGCTGACACTTGCCAAAGAGAGGAACGGACGCAATTATAGAAGATGGAACTCGAAGAGCCAACAGGAAGCGACAATTTTTTTAAAGAAAAACAGCAAGCAACTGAAAACCAATGACGCACGAGTGAGGAGGGGTCGGGACGAACCAGCCTCTAGCAGTAGCAGTAGCAGTGGCAGTGGCAGGTAGGGGAGGCAGCACACTGCGTCACAACGGCAGGTAAGGAGCACGTGGCGAAGGCCGAGCTCGTGGCAGCAGAAGCGACCGGATAGGGGTTTTTTTTTCAGAGTGTTGTGCGCTGGATGGCCTAGAAACACATGAAGGCAGAGAAGACTCCTTTTGCACATTTCATCGAGCACATGAAGGGCGCAGAACAGCAAGGACAGAGGAACCGTCAGTTGGGCACCATGGAGAGGAAGGAGAAGGCAGGGAGGACACAATCACAGGGCCGCCGGAGGCGAAGAGGAAGATAACCCCGCGGCAACGACAGGCCACAGAGGTGGTGGTAGCGACCAGCACACAGAGCATAGGGAGAGCGCCGACGCGAGAGGCTAGTAACAAAGCACCAACAGAGACACAGGGGACACGACAGTTGCGGAGACACACAGGCGATGTGCGGAGGACGGCGCGACGCCTGGATAGTCAGCGCGCGTACGCAGGTGGCGCCTCGACAGCCGGGGCGCGTGCGCAGGCGGCGCAGAACAGGAACGGTGACGGCGCCTCGTGAAACAGGAAGGAAAGAGAAGCAGGAAGGACCGAAGGAGCAGGAAGGAGGAGAGAGAAGCACAAAGGGTAAGATCTGGAAAAAAAGCACAGCTGAACGATAAAGCAACTTTCTGCACATCCGCCCAAAAACAAAACAAGAAACTGACACTAGCAAACAGACTCACGCACCAGTTAAAAAAAACATTCTTAAGCACCATATTACTGAGAATGCTCAATAATAACTTGTAAAGCCAACATAAAAATTGAACTGAAAAAATCAAATAACAATAAAACATCTCTATAGGCGTGTAGATGCAGAGAATAATTATTTTAATAGTTGACATCGAGATATAATGATCTCTCATTGTAAAGAAAATCGATTTTTTTTCATAAACCTAAAACCTATCAGTGTACCGTACTGTTGACAACTAAATTTGTCTATTTTATAAGTTATCAAAATGCTAAATGGACCTCACTATTGCGTTTCTCTCGTCGAGATGATAAAAAAAATATATGGAACATCTAATTCGGAGTCCTGACGAGCGAGTTTATACCCTCATGAAGATGTTTAGTGTCGGAAGTTCCGACGGAGGAACTTCTAAGAAACCTAAAACACTCCGCCTAGGTGCCCGGAGTCATCCCTTTGTCGGAAGTTCTAACGGTTGAAAGTTTCGACAAGCTTAGGAACTTTCGACAGATCTAATAAAAAGACTTTATTCAGATCTGGTCTTTTGGATTACGATCCGAACTATTCCAAACTCGTGGAGAACTTAAAAATATACCTTGGAAAGGTTTTCTAGTGGGATAAAAGCACCCTATATATATATATATATATATATATATATTGAGGATCATGGCCGATTGAGATATCCAACACACAATCGTCAAAAACACATCTACACCTTTTACCCTCTCTTTTCCTCATTCTTCGTCGGTGCTGCATGGCTAGACGATTGATGACGATGAAGCTCTAGAGCGGTCAGGCCAGCTAGGGCAACCCATAGCCGCCACATGCCCCGATGGGGTCCCTCCCGGGCATGTGGGGTTTTGGGTCTCAAGAGACCTCACCGGCGTGTCCTGCGAGTATCGCTCTCCCGGTGAGGCTCCTCCAGCGATATGTCTTGCGTATCGCGTTCATCGTTGGAGGCACAAGGTTCTGGTGCAGCCAAACCCTAGGCGCCGGCCGACCTAAAAGTCCACTAGGCCCTACATCGAGCATTCTAGCTCCTTACCGGTGTGGTGACCCAAATCGGCATCAACACACTTTTGGCAACTCCGCTGGGGACGATTGGTTTGATTATATCTTATAGTTGATCTTTCTAACCTAACCAATTTGTTGGTTTCAATCTATCTTTCTTGTGTTCTCATTACCACTGCGTAACCTAGCCCAAAAGGTCGATTGCAGTATTGATCCCCTCTATCAGGATGTGGAACAACAGTCGCAATGACAAATTCACTGGTCTAATGGGCCAGGAGAGCATCGTCAAGTCTACAACCAGATCTGAGCTAAAAGCCAGTGGAATATCCTAAGATTCCCCTCCTTTTCATGTTATGAATAATGTCGGGTTCATAAACCCGGGGTCCCTCGGGGACCGGCTTCCACAATAGGGCTCGGCCCAGGGAAACAGCGTGTAGTCCATGGGCCGGCCCAAGAGTCTAAAACACAACGAGCCGGAGTACAGTCCGGTCGCCGACCGGGAGGTCTTCCCAAGAGAACGAGCTCCCGCTCTTCAACTTCTTTGGCCCACCTCTCCGACCGGAGCACTTGCTTCGGGCACCAGCCACCTCCAGGCGGTCCCTCTGATCGGAAGGCATGGCCCAAAATGTTGCTTCCTACTCCTACCCCGCGACTCCGACTGATGACTCGTAGGAAGCCTGCGTACCGCTCTTCTCCGACTAGCGTGGCCAGGGCCGACTGGAGCCATCCGATCGGGGACGCCCGCTTGAAAGGGACCAGGGGCGAACGGAGAAGGCAGCGCACAAAGTCAAACCACGATACCGGGACCATGCCCTGGACGCCTGTGGGAACAGTACTCCACGACCGCCTTGACACAAATAGTATTGTAGGCGCCGACATTTATGTCTACAGTATTGTAGGCGCCGTTGGGCTCCCGCACGGCAAAAAGCCCCCCACATGTCTCTAGGCATCGATAGTGGGCGCCAGGATTCACCATACATGGTACACGTGGTGGGGCTCCTCACATACCAACAACATTTTTGCAGGTACCGACGTCCACCCTTCCTAAAGAAGCCAACACAACCTCCCTTGTGCACATGAAATTCTACAGTGACATCAACAGTATTGTGGGCGCCTACCACCATCACTGTCCTCATCCGCGTGGGCAACAAGACTTAGAAACATCCGTACTCTCTCCCTCTCACCTGTAAAGCCATCCCCTTTATCTATAAAAGGGGATGCGCTCCCTCCAACAAAGGAGGTCCACTTCTTCAAGTTTAGACTCACTAGATCGACAGCCCAAAACCCCTCAAAGCACACACTTGAACACCTAGCTCATAGCGGAGTTCCGGTCGCCCTCGGCCCTTCCGGTCGGACCCGACCGGGCCTCTCGTACACCCCTCCTTTCTCCTTCTCGTTTGTAACCCCACTACAAACTTTGACCACCTAGGCTCAGGAATAAAGTCACCGACCGACCCACACTGGACGTCGGGCATGTTGCCTGAACCAGTATAAATCCTATGTCATTGAGTGCTAGGCCACCTCCGATCACAATGTACAGCGAAAACTACAAATATTCACTAGTTGGTTACTTTCTGTACCAACAGTTGGCGCCGTCCATGGGGAAGACGTTGTATGTTCAACACTTTTTAGTCATCGGATGTCCCATTTTTCCGCCACCCCCACCGTGGCGGGCTCGGGTGATACGATTCTCTTCGGCTCGCTGGACTTTCCCGCACTCTCACCCGCCGGGATGTGGGTTCCACCCATCCTCGAGCCATCCCAGGCCTTCCTCTTCGGAAGCCTGGACTTCATCGTCGACCGGCTCGGCGTACTTCACCTCCACGAGGAGACTCGCGACCCAGCACCCGTCGGAGAGATGTCCTCCATCGACTCCAGAACGCACGACCTCAATGGCGTAGCTCCTACACTTCATTCCGAGCAAACTCTCTGCTCAAACCCCACCGTGAGTAATATATATGCCGTTCTTTACTTACTACATTCTATCTTCCGCCAAACACCCGGAGGGCTATCGTTGTCCCCGTCGCAACCACCGTACGGCCGGTTCCCCTACGGCCTTGTGTCTCCCACGGACGCGTACGCCTGGGGGCTCCAAAAGATTATGGCGCCGCCTCCTCTCACGTATGAATTCATGGGGATGGTGAGCTACGATCCCACCTGTTTCCTCAACATCATGGACAACGACGTTGGGAGTGATGGCTCCAGCATCGGCGATGTGGCACCCAGCCACCGTCGGTCCCGGGAGTGCACTATGACGGATGCCCCGAAACAGCGGCCAGGGGCAATGGAGTCCTCATGGACTCATGCCACTCTGGGCCCTCATACGGA